ATATTTTGTACCTAAATGTTCATGTTGTTATTCCTCCTTATTACGTAAATCTGTCCTTGAAAATCTTCATATTGGAGAATTAGGTGCTGAGAAAGTGGAGTTCATGGTAAGGCTCACATGTTGGTGACCGGAGATGTATATGCAGATATATGTCATACGGCAAACAATTGTGGAAAATGTGATAAGTTGAAAAGTCAACTTTCGAAGTGGACTTCATGGCCAGTATTGTCCTAGGCCTGGTAGAAAATTCGAGCAGAATATTGTGGTCCATATTTTGGCGAGTGCTACGCACTCGTAGTCATAGATTCTTTTTCTACGTTGTGTGAAGATTATTTTACTACTTCGTCCAATTTCACTTTCACAAACCAATCATTAAGAAAGGTGTGTAGTCGAGAAATGGTTCCCATGGTGTCAGGAAATCTATGGTGCGAATTCTGCACATCAATGATCTCCGTACACACAACCGATATGTCTATCCAATACGATTCGAGGATTCAGTTCAGTTTATTCCAATGTCGGTTGATAATTCTAATCCTGATCATCAGATTCTGGATCATACAGAGTGTATATCCAATACACAGTCTAACAGACATACGATGAACCTACGGAGAAGTTATTCAATTGACTACAAATTTTCTGATTCCAATTAAACTCCCTCCGACAGCTACTGCCGATCCCAAGCCCGGATAAAGGAGGAGGGTTGTGCATGGGTTCGCGACACCGTCCCGTAGAAAACTAACTCATACACAAAACATTCAAAATGGATCTTACAGAGCTGCAGTGTATCCAACATCAGCTTTCGCTGCCTTACGAATACCTAGTAAGACGAGTGGAAGAGCGTCGGTCCACTGTGAATATTATACAGCCGATAGTGAATCATTTAATTGTCGGTGAAAGAGTTCTACCAACCCGTTTGCTTTTGGGTGACAGGCGGTCGTTCGGGATCGTGTGACTTATATTAGTGTAGTCAGACAATGAATAAGTCCACATTCGAACTGTAATGATAGTTGAGGGGAAGCCGAAGTTTGCTACCCATCGTTCGACCAAAGCGCAGGCCACTGATTCAGCGGTGATGTCCTTGATAGGTACTGCCTCTGGCTATCGAGTGAAACGGTCTACTCAGGTTAAAAGATAAGAGTAGCCATTTGAATCTCGTAAAGGTCCTACCAAATCCGGATGAAAATGCTCGAAACAAGCATGAGGAGTTTTGAATGAGCCTAAGGGACTTTTGTTGTGTCTAATAACCTTGGATTTTTGGCAGCTTACACAGGAGCGTGCCCACTTACTCACGTCTTTATTCATACCAGGCCAGCAAAACCGTTCTGCTCTGAATTTGATGGTTGCATGAACACCTGGATGAAAAAATTTGTGCAACGTATTGGAGACATTGGGTCGATAATGTTTCGGCACGATTGGGCGATTCCTACCTGTAGATGTGTCACAAAGTAAGGTTATCTTACCTGTTCCCATCTGTTTGATGAATAGCTTGAGTTTTGTAAACGATAACTCGTGCTGAAGATCACTATCTTCTTCTTGGATCTGGGCGAGTTTCAGAAGATAGATTCCTTGGAAACTGTTCAAGGAATTTATGCGAGACACGGCGTCTGCGATTACATTGTTCACTCCAGAAATGTGTTGAATATCTGAAGTAAACTGCGAAGTGTAGTTCAGTTGTTTAGACTCACATGGTGAGTACTTGTCTGAAGAAGAGCTTTGAGAGAATGTAAGAGGCTTATGGTCAATAAAAAGAGTGAATTCACGGCCTTCGATATAGTGATGTAAACGCCGTACAGCACAATACATAGCTAGTAGTTTCCTACCGAATGTGCTGTACCTCGATTCGGTGTCTAGCAACCTTCTAGAGAAAAATGCCGAAGGTTGCCAGGAGTTGTTAACCCATTGTTGTAAGACTCCTCCTATTGCTGGGTCGGATGTGTCTACTGCGATGCTAATCGGTGCTGGGGTATCCTGATGTGTAAGCATTGTTGCTTTTGAGATAAGTTCCTTAATTGTGGTGAATGCTTTACGCGCGGTATCGTCCAGATTGATGGGTTTCGCAGTTCCACGAAGTTGGTCAATTAGAGGTTTCATAAGGGACGTGCAGTTTGTCATGAACCGTCTATAGAAACTTACCAGGCCGCTAAACATGCGTAACTGCTTGATGGTGGTCCATTCTGGGTAATCCAGTATGGCCGCTACTTTGCTTCTCAGAGGTCGGATGACTTGAGCATCAATGGTGTGTCCGAGGAAATCTGTGAATTGAGTTTCGATTCGGCATTTCTGGATGTCTACAGTAATGCCATGCTTTCGTGGTCGCTCCAAAACAAAGTCCAGATGTTGGAGACGAGATTCTCTGTGCGGCCTTGCAATCGAGCAGTCATTACCATACGCTTATATGACGTTGAAAACTCAAAAATCGTCATCGATGAGCCTTTGGGACTTCTGTGCAGCATTTTTTAAGCCAAAGGGTGTGCGCGAAAATTCGTCGAGACCGATAGGAGTTGTGATAACGGTTTCAGGGATGTCGTTATCGGCCATAGGAATTCGGTTATGGGCTTTCACCAGACTGCTTTTCGAAAAGGCAGTTGTACCTTTGAAGGTAGCTGTCTAATCATGAGTGTGGAGCGACGGGTTACGATCGAGAATGGTTTATGCATTCAATCGCCGATGGTCAGCAGTTGCACATCAATCGCTGTAGTCCTTTTTAGAGACCATGAGCAGGCGAGATGCCCATAGGCTTGTAGTAAAATTGGGCCCTGTGTGCACAATCATCAAAGCTGAAAACGAGACAATTGGAGAAATAGATGTTCAGCATTTGACTCAGAGAAAAACTGAACCATGAAGAAGGCGGGAAGAAGAAATTGAATTAATTCGGATTGATCGGATGGTATGGCTATCCTTGAATGTTTTTATATACCGTTTATTCATACTAAATATATTGTTCTATCTCTAGCCCCAGTTTGTTCTCCATCATAAATTGGTGATTGTTATGATGCGATGAGTTAGTGTGGACGACGATGTGACTTCCACGTAAGATCTTACAGATTAGGCAGTTATATCATGACAAATCTACAATTTTAGGATTTTGTCTACTATTAGAGCAGTACTAATATCATAGCAGACCGTGATTCGACAGGCTGTTTGACAGTCGAATTGTTCACAAATCTATCATGTGGCTGAATTCGTTTTTAAATATCCTCAGCTTTTCGGGGGGCCGTCGGCAGGCTTTCGAGAATACAGGTGGTTCTGTAGTCGTGATGTTACGTGTGACATTGTTGATTACGTTGGTACTTGTCGAGTAACTAATGATGGAATGTATCTATCGTGTACTTAACTGTGACTGGAGATGATCTACAACCGGCAAAAGAATTAACGTAAACAGATAAATTAGTGTTTCGATTAGAAGATTGTGGTGTTGTAGGAGGTCTATACAAATGATCGGCATAGAAACATCTGCAACAACGAAAATTCAGTGAGTGGGTTTGCCTAAACCCACGTTAAGCTAAACTCACCCAATAACATATGTGGTGATTGGATTTCCTTTGCCGCCAGTAAGTTTAGAACTGATTCATGAAGCCGATCGTTAGAAATTTCTGGAAGAACGCTAACTTCTGCGCCAGTATCGATGAGGTAGCAGACTTTCGTTATCACATATGTGACGTATGACAAACGGCTATTTTAGCCGGCTGAGAGGTTTCCTGAAATGTTTTTCCTGTCGGTCGGTTTTAGACCGGAAAATTGCAGGGTTTTCTGCAATCCATAGAAGACTTTCCGCACTGGTTGTGACACAACACTAGTCGGGTAATCTATCTCTCGTGGTCTAGAGACAGATTGCCTACATGAAGCACTTATTCGCGAGGTTTGTGACCGCTTACGGTCATTACGAAACAGAAGGTAACGGAGTGGCGTATGACATAGTTCCGTAATGTCATTCTGTGTCGCTTGAGGCCTTTCTTTGACTGAAGAAACCTCGACGTTAGATTTGTTGATATCTAAAATGCGATTGGCAGATGCAGCCAGCTCGTCTGCGGCGTTGTTTTGAAACGAGACCAGCACAGCTTGTATCTGTTGAGGAAGTTTCGACAAGGAAAGTTGTCTAAATAAGCCCTCGTCGAAAGTTCTTTGGCCAATCAGTTCTCTCATTCTTAGCAACACGTTTGTCGCAGAACCGTGTTGCAGGTCGATATTACTAACGAATTGATCTAACCTTTGTCAATCGGTTAGGTCTCCATGTTTAAGGATAGATCGTCTAAGAGTTTCGTAAGGTTCCAAAATATCACTAGTAGACATACCTGGTGTTACGTACCTGTTAAATTCGCGCGCTAGCGCCTTTACTATTGCGAAGAATTGCGCACGTGTGTCGCCCACATCGTGCTCGTAAAAGTCGGCTTCTGAGTAGCAGAACCAGGCTTCAGTGTTGTCTGGCCAGAAAGGCATTAGTTGGAACGAAAGTAGGGACATAGTCTTTAGCTTAAGTTCCTTGGGTGTCTGTTCCATCATGGCAAATATGAAAAACAGGAATAAACCAGAAAAAATATCCCGAAAACACGAAAAGATATCACAATATATAAGAATTAGAATAAAGAAATGACACATGAAATACCAAAAAGGAACAGACGCACAGTTTACAAGTTGGTGTGCCAGATCAAGTCGGCTTACCAATGAAGATGCCACAAGTACTTGGAGTTTGACAACGCTTTAATCAGGAACAACTTCCACCATGAATCGTACCCACCAAGTGAGATCAAAAGACAGAAGCGAGGAGGTTCGAAAATATGTTTGACAGGCTATCAATATATTGAGAATCGACTAATCTAAACTGGCCAGCGATTGCGAGGGATGTTGATCCACTGCCTCTGGGTCATGGGCTCGGAGAGTGGTCTCCTAAGAAAACTGCTTGCTTCGGTTTCGGCTCACAGCCTTCACACAAACCGAATGACGAAGTGTGGCGTACATATATTTGGTTGCTCCTTGCACTAATTTTTGTGTTTAAATAAATAAATAAATTGATTGTTTTTATAACTAGACGCTACTTCATAATTAGTTGTTTAGTCATTCAAGGTGGTTAATGTCATTTGCTTGGACGTAGGACGTGTAAACGTAGTCAGCGTACCGACAAAAGTTATCCAGTATATTTTAATCCGTCATTTGGCCAGCTGTTTGTCGACTTATTTAGTGTCCAGACAGTCCAGCTATCCAAGATGGCCTCAATAGATTAACAGTCCCAAAAGGTTCTTCAGATCACAGATTACTGCATTTTCTAGCAATCCTGTATCTTAGCCCGGGCTTGGTTATATATTGTAGGAAGGTAGATTGAATGATGCCGTAGACGTAAACTTAGTGCACACCCACTGACACTAAGAACCAATAGTTGAACTTTCCTATCATTTGTAAATGCTTCACTGCAGATTTAAGTGCAAAGCTCAGCTCATTTACGTCTGCTGAATATTGTGTTTTGTCCCAGTAATTTTGCTTATTGTTACTTTTTTTACAGATAAGATTTTTATATATGTATACATAACAAGGCTTCCTGGTACACTCCATTATTCGTGTTAACCATTTTCGTACTCTAGGTACTTTTGATCGTACCACCATTAATTATCGATAATGAAAGTCTCTGTGTTGGGTTTTTATCTCGGTTGCGTGCCATATAATATTGCATATGATCTTCAGAAGTCTATCGTCAAACTACTGAAGTCTCTTGATAATCCTTCGGTGCATTGTATCTTACTTCTGGAACACTGTCCAGTTTACACTATTGGTATACGCCACACAGATCCTATGAATGACTATGGCGAGTATACCATTAAACATCTCAAACGTCTTGGGGCTGAATTTGTTAGGTCAGTTATGTTTTGTTTTTTGATTGATTATTATCATGTGTCTACCCAAAATCTCAATTGCTGATAAAGAATAACAAAATAATTCTGTACATATATTTATTTGGTAGGCTTTTGGGGGTTGTGTATAAATCGAACTAAACAGCTGCTCACGGGTCCCCGGTTCTATAATTTCCTCAGTGTTACCATTTTTAAATTGATCATAGGGTGCGTAGGTACCTCATAATTTTACGAGACTGTTTGCCAGTCCTTGACATGATCAAAACTGTATACTACTCACCAAAGGTAGTCCTAAAACAATTATGGATCTTCTTGTTACTTGTGTCGAGAGCTATCTCAACACATTTGAGCCACTGATTTTTGTATCAGTTAAATAATCTTTGAAATGGACGGTACGTCATCCGGTAACGTCCAAAAGCGTCTCAGACGATGGGCAAATTTTAATGAGGACTTGTTTTATTGATGTGTTTCCATTGCAATGTCGACCATACGATCATGTACTTTCTGGCTGGTGACTGCTGACTCATCTAACAAAGCAGAGGCCTTTGAGGAGTTCCAAGTTTCAAAGCGCCATGAGCCACCAGGTATAAAGAGTCAGCACCCTAGCTCTATTTGAAGATGGTGGCGAACATCTCGTCAGGTAAATGGCTGGGCTGTTTTAGATTTCGGAATCGGAGATCGTTTGGTTTCCTTCCTGATCCTGAGTGTATTGATGACGTTACCATCCACCAAATGTTGGGGTCTCATCATGCTTATTATGGGCTGGTAGTCATGTTTTTGACCTCATAACCGCCGGTCTCGGTATATTTTGCGAATGTTATCCCAGTGTCTTTCACTTTGCGCGTTATTTACAGACGCTGGAACTGAGTGAGAACACGGAATAGAGATTCAGTTTATGGACTTTAGGACCGCTTGCTTACTTCAGACAGGAACATTGTAATTAATCCCGAAATTTCAAAACTTGTGTCCAAAAATCAGAAATGATGATTCAGTAAGTGTAGCTGTTGTCAACCACGGGTTTTGGTAGCTAAATTACATTTTACGAATTTTACTTACGCCTATTACTCCTCGTGAAGGAGCATAGGCCGCTCACCAGCATTCTCCATCCAACCCTGTCCTGGGCAATCCTTTCCAGCACGACCTTGCACTGTAGTCCGTCGTATGAGTTCCGGATAATATTGACAATCTTCTCAGGAACTCCATAGTGTCGAAGAAGTTTCCATAATGTCCTCCTATCCACACTGTCAAACGCCTTTTCATAATCAATGAAGTTGATGTATAGTGACGAGTTCCACTCAACTCATTGTTCGACGATGATCCGTAGTGTTGGAATTTGGTCTGTACACGATCGATCTTTACGGATTCCAGCTTGTTGATCTCAAAGTTGGGCGTCTACTGCATCTTTCATCCGGTTCAGCAACACTCTGTTGAAGACCTTCCCTGGTATTGACAGTAGTGTAATGCCTCTGTAGTTTTCACATTTGCTCAGATCTCCTTTCTTTGGAATCTTGACGAGGTGCCCTTCTTTCCAGTCCATCGGTACTTGTTCCTCCTCCCAAATCTTTTTGAATATAAGGTAAAGCATGTTTGTAGTTACTTCGATGTCTGACTTCAGTGCTTCAGCTGGTATATTGTCGGGTCCTGCTGCTTTCGCGCTCTTGATTTGTCTGATGGCCATTCTGATTTCTTCCGTCGTTGGTGGGTTGACATATATAGGAAGATCTGTGTGTGCTGCTTCGATGTCCACTGGATTTATTGGAGCCGGCCTATTCAGGAGTTCCTCGAAGTACTCTATCCATTTGTTCCGCTGTTGTTGAATTCCAGTGAATGTCCTACCTTCTTTGTCTTTGGCCGGTCTCTCTGGTTTACTATATTTCCTTGCTAGTTTCTTCGTTGTATCGTAAAGCTGTTTCATATTTCCTTCTCTAGCAGCTTTTTCCGCCATTGTTGCTAGTTCTTCTACGTATTTCTTCTTGTCGGCTCTAATGCTTTTCTTCACTTGCTTGTTTCCTTCTATGTACTCAGCTTGAGCTCGAAATTTCTTTGCTCGTGTCCGGCTGTTGTTAATTGCTATCTTTTTGTTCTTATTCCTTCTTTGATCTTGTACAGTGTTTATATAGAGATCCATTGTTGAGGCCCAGAACCTCTTCACACGTCGAAGTTAATGCTTCTTTGATGCCTTTCCAGTTGTCCTCCATAGTAGTTTCTTCTTCCTTCAGTAGCTGCTGTAAGGCTTGGAACCTGTTGTTGAGAGATATCTTGAATTCATTGAGTTTGCCAGTATCTCGAAAGAAGGCTGTAGTGAACCTTTGTAGTGCTGTTTGTCCAGTTGTCCAGTTTTTCTTTAGCTTCAGTTTTAAATTGGCTACAACTAGGTGGTGATCTGAAGCTACGTCAGCTCCTCTCCTGGTTCTCACATCTTCCATTGTCCTTCGGAATTTTTTGTTGATGCAAATATGATCTATCTGGTTCTCTGTAGTGTGGTCCGGTGAGATCCATGTAGCCTTGTGTATACGTTTGTGTGGAAATATTGTGTCCCCTATGACCAATTTGTTGAATGCACACACATTTGCGAATCTTTCCCCATTTTCGTTTCTCTCTCCATGATATATTCATATCCGGTGTTGTCTATTCCGACTTTGGCATTTAGATCTCCCATTAGAATGGTGAGGTCCTTTCTTGGGCATTTCTCTATGATTGACTGCAGCCGCTCGTAGAATTGATCTTTAATGTCGTCGTTGCTATCATTGGTGGGTGCATAACATTGGATAATATTCATTGTGATCCCCTCCTTCTTTATTTTGAATGATGCTTTGATGATTGTGAATCCATGAGATTCCCATCCTACAAGTGCATTTCGTGCTACTTTGGACAGCATTAGAGCGACTCCCTGAGTGTGTGGAGCATTTTCCTCTTCGTGACCGAACTATAGCAGCATCTCTCCCGTAGCTAGCCTTTTCTGTCCAGCTTGGATCCAGTGGGTTTCGCTGATTCCCAGTACTGCCAAATTGTATCTCCTCATTTCCGTTGCTATTTGGCTGATCTTCCCGGTTTCCCACATTGTTCGAACGTTCCATGTACCTATAAAATTTTTTGCTCTGGTTGTTAGAAGGGTCATCGGCCTCGTGGCTTCCGAAGGAACTCGGCTTTCACCATGAAGCGTCATAATTCTTCTAAATGAAGACCTAACTTCCAGTGCAGAGTTAAAATGTTTTGAATTATTTTTTCGGGTAAGCGTTTTTTTAGCGGGTTAGTTTTCTACGGGATGGGGCCGGCAACCCCATGCCCAACCCTCCTCCTTTACCCGGGCTTGGGACCGGCAGTAACTCTAGAAGAGCTACAGGAGGAGTTATTTTACGAATTTAATCCATATTATATTACTTTGTCATTTTTCGGGGATGGATTCAGAAAGCTCAGTTGTTCTTTGTCAAATTACATCACTTTTGGCGCAAGTGAAATGTTTGTCTACCAACCAAAGGGTGTGTATATTGCACACTATTTACTTTATTACTTTATGGGTGTGGAATTATGATCTTTTAATGTAAAATGCACACGCGGTTTGCAGGTTTCTGATCATAAGTGTCTTTGGAGCATTTTCTGCGTATATCCAAATGGCCAAGTAAGCAATGTTAATGTTAGGCATAAGGTACTGGGTAGTGATGGAAAGTCGGTTTATGTAGTGAGTCAGTCACAACGTAGGACCAGGCACGTATATGCATTGGCTCAAGTTACCACACCTCAGCACAGAAAGATGAACACCACACTTCAATGGCGGTAAAGAAAGGTTTCATATCAAAATATAATACAGAAAGAAAGAATTAGTTCTTAGAAAGAAAGTTAGAAAGCAACTTTAGTCTCAGTTTAAGGGAAGACAGTGTATGCACCTACGCCATTGTGATTGGTTCTGAGCCATGTCATCCAGAGTTTCCAGCCATTGGTTACGACGGTCACGCGGACCCCAACCAAGTATTCTGCATCTACCAACATGGTTCAGACTAGAAGTTAGTGACTTCAAGCACTGATGCCACGTTTTGGTTTGGCCGCCCCTAACTTTCTTCCAACTATCTCCAATACCGGATAGCATTGCACGTCGTGGTAGTCGGTGTTCAGGCATACGTAACACGTGGCCCAACCATCTCAGTCGATGAAGATTCACAACTACCATCATTCTCTAATACCCTGTGTCTCAGTCAGTCAGTCAGTAACAACGTAGAACTTCGTACGTACGTACATCAGTTCGAGTTGCCACACCACATTAGCACAGAGATGCAGTTGTCGATTCAAATCCCGTAGTGGTAGAGGTAATAAGACTATAAGCAGTAATCGGGAAGATTAGGGTTTGGAGATGTTATTTAAAGAGTATAATACAGTGAAATAGATTTGGAAAGAGGAAAAAAGGGATATGAAGAATTCAGAAGATTAGAATTTGGAAGAACGCAGAGAGTGGATGCACCTGCGCCATTGCAAACGATTTTGAGCCATGTCATTCAGGGTCTCTAACCATCGGTTGCTATCATCTCGCGGTCCCCAACCAGGTAGTCTGCACCTACCAACATGACTCAGTCCACTTGTCAGTGACTTCATGGACTTGTGCCATGTTTTGGTTTGGCCGCCCCTAGCTTTCTTCCAACCTACTCCTATACCACTGAACATAGCACGTCGAGGCAGTCGGTGGTTGGTCATACGTAACACGTGTCCCAGCCATCTCAACTGATGAAGTTTCACTACTTCATCAATTGATTTGCCATCCTTACCTAGTACCCGATCCTTAACAACTGTGTTACTTACTCGATGGTCCCAGGATATACGAGCAATGTTTCGAAGACACCTATGATCGAATACTAGTAACCTACGAATATCCTCTACTCTTACCGGCCATGTTTCACTGCCACAAAGAAGGACGGAACGAACTGCTGCGCAGTAAACCCGTCCTTTGGTTGATAGACGGATATCTCGCCTACGCCATAAATGACGCAAGTTGGCAAGAGCTAGTCGAGCCTTCT